CATTAAAAACATAGTTTTTCCCACCATAATGGACGCCATCTTGGAATTTGTTATGATGACGTCATCATTCCGATCAAATTTTTTAATGAGAGTGATGAGTAACTATATAGCCAAGTTTTTATTACATTTCACATCCACAGTATATGTAAAAGTGACCAAAAACATCAATTTATTTTCCCTACCCCCATCTTAAATAGTTTAAAATAGGGTATTTTAGGCCAAAATTTCAAAGTGCTGTAAAAAAAATTGCCCAAGCCCTAGGCATGGGGATTTTTTTTCTGACACACTATAGGGTATGCTGATTCAGAAAAACAAAAAATTAATTTTCCTTTACTTTTTTCCTGCTAAAGTTCATTTCAGTAGTTTTACAACCAGGCTATAAGGAGATGTCGGATATGAATGATTTTTGTACTATTTTATAGCTCTTATTTTACTCTTTAACTAATAACTCAAAAGACAAGTGACTGGTTTGACTTGTCTTTTGCCACATATTTTTTCTTGTATGATAAATTGTACTATCTGTCTGTCTTTTCAATATATCTTTATGAATTTGTAAATTTTTATTCATTTTATTTAAATTATATTTAATAAGAACTACATTTCTAGCTCAAATAGCCAGTGAGCTGATCAAAGTCAAAGTGATCTTTATTCATTCATAAAAGGTGAGCAGGACCATCAATGTTTTTCAAAGCATAATAAATTTATAATATCCAATCTATTTACATCTGCAATAAAAATAGTTAGGATATGAATTTCAATGTTTTATTCTAATTTGTCCTAAATTTGACAAAATATTTTTTGAATATGTAAATATATCCTGACACCACACTCAAGTAGTCGTGTTCTGAATATACATCTACTAGATATTAGGCAAATGCCAGTGAAAATTATACCATATTTAAATTATCACATCATCATCTTCCGGAACTGTGCATAACCTCTATTAATAGAGTATGCTTGAACGATGCTAAAATGTATGCAGCATTGCGTGCTGATGTGAAAACATTTCTTATCTTTTTTAAAATCAAGGTTTTTAAATTTTCTTTATTTATATAATATTTCACAAACACCTGTTCAGTAGGAATAATATGAAAGATGAGAACGTAGTTCAGTTCCAAATGTGAATTCCAGAAGTAAATGAATAAAAGTAATACAAAATAGCATGCTTATTTTGTTTTATAACAACATACCTTTAAAGGTGGCCCTACTTTTTCTTTGTCTTTTGTGCTGTGCGCGGCTTCTTCCTTTTCCTTTAAATAAAAATAAAATAATCTTTGCACAACATCAGTTTTTACTTTTTCACTCTACTGAAAAACATTTTCAATTTCATTAAAAACATGTTATTTTTATACTAATGCATATGATGCGACTATGATGACAATGGGATGCGTTTCAATTTGTGTTTGCGTCAGGAAAATATAACATGTTGTTAAATGGATATGCCACGTAGGACAGTGATTAAGTTCACTTATTGGCATATCCTTGGCCCTCGTGCCTAAAGAAATGAAATGAAATGAAATGAAACATGAGTGATGTTTTGCCCTACCTCCCTGACGAGTTATCCTACTAAACACTTAAATTCAACACTAGGCACTATAAAGTGCAAGTTTTGTGATCTAGCAGTTATGACACCAGGCTAGTTATCTGGAGGTTGTGGGTTCGATTCTCATCCCGAATCTGCTTGCAAATTTTTTTCACAAGTATTTGGCAATGTACTGAGTATTTAGTACGATGACATGTCAGATATGGCAAAACATCACTTCCAGGAGATGTGTATTTTCAATAAAATGATGAAAGTGTGGGTGTGTTTTTTAAAGATCTTTAATTCAAGGAAGGTTGCTACACAATGTAGTGGAGACAATGGCTCTTCTGCTGTGTATTGGCTCTCTCATTTAACTAAGTTCAAATTATTTCATGCCTTTGCCTATCAAGACACTGTTTACAAGCATGCAGTAGACAGTACAAAGAGTTATGCTCCAATCTACATGCCATGTACATTTAATTTTTTTATTTTTTATTTTTTTTTATTTTATTTTATTTATTTATTTAGGCACACAATACATGTGACAAGGATTGTCAACAGCGAATATATCACTATCCTACTTGTAGGTGACAATCCCTTACACAAGACAAACATACACACACGATGCTTTACACAAACTAAATCTCCATATGAGATTTTGGGAGTGGAGTTGTTTTGGTCGTGAGAAAAAATCCTGCAACTGGCAGGAATTGAACCCAGGACCCTGGGATTGGAAGGCAAGCATCTTAACCACCAAGCTATTCAACTCCACTTCAACTTCTACTCTACAGTAAATTTTCATTTTGCTGGTCAATTTTCAAAAATGAAATTGTATTCATAGAAGCACTCAACAGGTTCATGGTCAAAAGAAATTAGATGTAACAGGCATTGCAAAGTGCCCACAATTAATAAAATAGCACCATTAAGTTCATGGTATGCATACATAAACTTAATTGACGGCTGTACTCACCAACTACAGTATTTGATTGTCAATTTTACAGCAAAGATCAAGAGGTTTTACGCACGTGCTATATTCGCGTGCGGAAATGAGCATACTTTTGTTGAATTTTCTTGGTATAACATTATTTAAGTTGGTTTAAAGAAAATAGGCCTACTATTGATTACTGTTAAACCATACCTAAATTCCTAGTAGCCATGTTGTCAGTTCAGTTCTATTGGTCCTTATTTTTTCCTTTTTTCTTCCTCTATTCTGGATCTGAATATGGTTGAGTCTGCAGTTTCAACCTAGGTCGTACTTTCGCCAACTAACCTGTATGAACAAAGATGTAAGTTAACACAAAATAAAATCATTGAAAATATGACCTAAGTTAAATAGTTTCTCCAGTGATCAGATGATATATTGCCTCCCCACAAATATATTATATTTTACATAATACATAATTACTAACATCAAGATACTTCAATGGTGACAACAGAATTTATCCAATGGGGAGGAAAGAGCCAGGAATGTGGACAGGGTTGGTCCAGGGGGGCACCCAAAACAACTTGGAGGGTGTCCAGGGGCAAGGCCCTTGTAAGTTATAACAATTCAGGGATTTTAGAGCTACATAATGTATAAACATTTGATTTTCTTTTTCTCCAAGACAATTGTTTTGAGCTCACCAACAGGGGTAAAGACACAGGCTGTTCCCAAATGGTGGCACCAAAGCAGTGAGTGTTGGGATACTCTGTAAAAAAACAGTACTGTATTATGATGATGTACATGATTTTAGAAATGTAGCGATAAGGGGAGGGGGAGAAACAAGTCCAGCATGGGTCAAGGTGACACAAAGGAATCATTTCAAATTGGCATATCTAGACAAGATGAATCTCAATCGATATTATCAACAGTCTGCAAAGAAGTAGTATCACAATTATGAAAAGTTTGGTCTAGAATAAAAATCAAATTTTATATAGTACTACGATACACAGCTAGCCACTTGGGCCTATATTAGTAGGCACCCAGACATCTACAATTATATTAATTGGCCTTGGCTTATCTAGGACTTCCTAGCCAAGGCTAGCCCCACCTCCCAACTTCCCTAGCTAGGACTCGAGGAAGCATACAATAGGTGGGGATTATTTTTGGCCTAAATAAACTAAAAGAGCTTGTATACACAATGTAAAAGCTACACAAACCTAGTAGTAGTAGTAGTGTTAGCCTGGCCTAGAGTAGTAGACCTAGGCCCTAGTCTAGGACTCCAGGCCCTAGTAGGTAGAGCTTATCTACCTGGCCTAGGCTTGAACAAAGGCTGTACATTACGTAAAAGCTACAAAAAAAAAAGCATACTTCTAGGGCCAAACCCACTTTGGCCTCCAACGCTCTGCTAATAAAATGGCGGTCCTGTGTGTAATGGGGAATCCCCTTTCTTTGTTTACATTTGGCCATAGTGGAAACTCCAGAGGGCCACTCCACTGTTAGGCAAAAGATTCGCATACCATTCGCAATATAGGAAAAATACACAGGAAATTAGGACACTGGTTATCATCTGTTTTGTAAAAAAATTAAATAAAATAAAAAAATATATTATAAAAAAAACGGAGCGAAAGAAACGTAGATATAACATGTTTTACATTTTGAAATCGAAAGAATTTTTTTCTTTAATTAATAAAAATTGTGATTTTTAGCAAATTCATAATGAAAACTTTGAGCCATCTGTTGACTGAACGGTTCACTGCACACCTTAACACAGTAAATGAGTCAAAACGGGACCCCTTTTTCTCACAGAAAAGCTAGATGTTTTAAGCTTTATACTCACATATATATTCTTAATTAATGCAAAATTGAGTGATCATTTTTCTTTCAATCTTATGCTTTTGCATAGCAAAAGATATACAATTAGAGTGTTTTTGGTATACTTCTTGCTTTTTCTTAACATAACTCGGTAATAGGGTGAATGGTCAAGTGTAAAATGAAGCTTTCTTGGCATGTAAGTCTCATGCAGGTTGGTTAAATAACCAGTTATCATTTTTTATTAATAATTTTGTATTCACGCGCTTTAAGCATAATGAAAACTTTTCCCCTATTTTCGACAAAAGCTCAATCAGGTAAATTTGACCTACATCTTATGCACGTACTAACCGCAGAAAACTTGAAATTCGTAGCTGATTGGCCTTAAGCGCGTGACGTCATTCACAGACAAGGTAAAAACAGTTCTGAATACAAATTCTTAAAGAAAAAATGATCAATGCTTATTTAAGCAACTAGCGTGGGACTTCGTGGCAAGAAAGCTTAATTGATGAGCTACAATTGACCGTTCACCCGAAGTTTAGCGAACTGTCGTTGCAGAGTTATGGTAAAAAGAAGCAGGAAGTATACCAAAAAACACTCTAACTTTAACCTTTTTTCCTATTAAAAGCATTAAAGGTAGTCAACTTTGAAAGAAAAATGATTACTCAATTTTGCA